CGCGTACATTTTTTGAATGCATTAGAAACTGTCTATATTTGGTGGAAGAGCAAATTTTTCGACGGTGCCGTCAACGCCAATATTCACCAAATTATTGGTCGTGTCGTCATCTCATCATCTCAGAAAATTCGTAGATTGCTTTCAAACACAAACAAACACTCTCACGTGCCAGTCCTGTATATGTATAGACCTTTTTGACGTTTAATCGTCTTTCTCTATCTAGCACACATGGATGAATGAACGGTTTGTTTTCCTACACTGTAACTGGCGAGTACCCATTAATGGGTGAAAAAGTACCCATTTTGTGGTAGTGTATGGACCTGTCAAAAAATGCGTAAATGAAAATTTCAAATAGTGGGTACTTTTTTACCCATTTCCGAAACCTGTTCAGGGATCAAAAATGGGTACATATTTACCCATTATTGGGTGAAAAATATCTTTGTTGCACCATAACGTTGCTGACATACTTGGTTTACATTTTCGAGTGCATTTGTTCCGAAAACTACAAAAAATGATATATATGAATAGTTTAAAGAATGGTGATAGCTTCAAAAAGCTTCAAGGTAAGAAATGCTATATGATTTGAATGATTTCTTAGCTTATAACGTTTTAAAAAGCATGTTTGTTTTATTCCACAAATTTGAGTCCCATAAATAAATTTTAAAAAATGGGTACTTTTTTACCCAGTTACGGAAAACAATGCGTTCTGGAAATGGGTAAAAAGTACCCCATGATTTGACGTATAAGCTCTTTACCCATTAGTGGGTAAAGACGTTTTACCCATTTTATGAGTTTACCTACTTTACCGAGAAATGGGCACTTTTTCACCCATTAATGGGTACTTTCCAGTTACAGTGTACTAATCTGTTTCCCTCTTGCTCGCACTCGTTCGATGTAAGTGGTGCAGTAGTGTGCGCCGATTAAACGTCAAAAAGCTCTATTGAACTCAAAAGGCATTTTCGTAGAAACATTATAAATGTTGATGCTGCTTTAAATTACGTACACGCTATTTCAAAACAACTCAAATTTGGGTAAAATCCACCCAGATCAGTCAAAACTGAACCTACCCAAAAATGAGCAAACTATGTTGGGAGTGACAAGTTTACAAAAGAACACAGTCGATCGGATTCATGATGATGTTGTCCATTTCTAGATAAACATTTCAAAAGGTCCTATCTGTCATTGAAGCTGAATGGAGAAAAATTGATTTGAATTTTTGCAATATGTTTTTAAATGCCATTTTTAATTACGACATAAAACGATAATCTTTTGTGTTCTCAAATGCATAGGAAACACATAGAAGTGTATGTTTTTTCGTTTTATTCATAATTTTCAGGTTTAATTCGTGGTTTTGTTACATAGGACCTTTGGCTTTTTTCAGTATCAGTTAGGACCTGTCAAATTGGTCTGATTGCAAAGTTGAGGTAAGAATACGGTTTAGAGGTCAGATAATTACAACTACATCATTATTTGTTGATGGGCTTAAAACTACTATTCTGCCAATTTATTAAGTAAACAACGTTTATAATAAGAACTTGTCCATTATTTTTTTTCTGATGTATGCAGGAAAAATGTAAGTGTATGGAAAATTTGCATATTTTTTTAATATTCGGTATATTTTTATAAACAAACTCTTTTTTTTTCATTCTACATGATTCGTTTTACATTTATTAGCTCAAGCTGTTCATCAATAATTTACATTCATTCATGTTATTCGATCAAATCTACATCGCTGTCCTTCAGTGGATCGAGATCCCGAGTGAGATCCACATCAAAGTGGTCTACAACCGTATTATGGTTCTTCTTCCTGTTTTTTTTTCTGGAACTAAGTATTTGAGGAATGTTACAAAATAATCTTTTTGCTTGAAATATGGCATCAGATTGCGTAAATCGTCCAATTTAGCACTTGGCAATTCAAGTGGTTGATCCGCAATTGGATCCAAATCCTCGTCCAAATCCACGCTTGTAATATCGCATGTCGGATTTGACAGAATTTTGAATAAGCTTTTGCCTTGGTGTACTCCTGAAATCGCAATTAATTCGTCAACTCCATACCAGAAGCAGAGCGATTGATTACAGGCATCGTAAATGAAACTTTCTCATATCCCACTTCCCAGTTAGATGTTGAATCCATAGGAATTTCTAAAGCTTCATGTTCATATTAGTATAGCATTTCCAACTAACTATTATGAGTTTCAGTTTTTCTATTCCACATGAAACACGAGATGAAACAAAGGTCCTAATAGCATTTGTATTTTTTTTTGGTTGAATGACAGATTGGACTGTAAACATGTTTAAGGTCCAATCAGAGAGCTGTGCGATATTATAAAAACTTTCAAATTGGACGTTTTTTCACATATTTTTATAATTTTCTGAATATTGATAGTTAAAATTTCTAGAACAATCCCGCATAAGCGTGAACCATAAATTTACCTTACCTAAAATGGTTATAAATTGTTTATAATCCCTGCTTAACTTCAACTGAAATGGTTATGGAACTTTACATGAACGTTTAATGATAAAGTTTTAACCTTAAGTATTATAGTTTTTTGGAAGTGGACCTTACAAATAATGGGTTGTTAAGAACCATTACCATTCAAAATTCTTGTTTTCTCCATACATTTTCGGAAAGAAAACTATACTAAAACCTTTTAACTTATGGTTTGAGAACATTAATGGTAATGGTTATGGTAACCAGTAAGGTCCATGAATGGTTTTGTAACATCGATCAACATTATGTGGAATATATCGCGAATTGGTTCCCTAATAAAAATTGTATGGTTAATTTGCTTAACGACGTGTTCTGGGTATCATCCAAACCATTTGTGGAATAGTTCAATGATTTGGGTTACCGTTCGTTTATGGTTATTTTTTATTAGGGTTGCCTGTAAATTACTGATTACCAATTCACGATATATTTCACGTAAAGTTGAGCGATAATACAAAACCATTAATGGACCTTACTGACTACCATAACCATAACCATTAATGTTCTCAAACCATAAGTAAAAACGTTCTAATATAGTTCTCTTTCCGGTAATGTATGGAGAAAACAAGAATTTGGAATGGTAATGGTTCTTAACAACCCATTATTTGTAAGGTCCGCTTCCAAAAAACCATAATACATAAGGTTAAAACTTTATCACACAAACGTTCATGTAAAGTTCCATAACCATTTCAGTTGAAGTTTAGCAGGGATTATAAACAATTTATAACCATTATCGGTAAGGTCATGTGATGGTTCGCGTTTATGCGGGATACTTAGAGATGGTGAGCTCTGCAGTACAGAGAAGCATTAAACTCGATTTGTTTACAAATGTCAGATAGGACCTTTTGAAATGTTTATCTATTTGTCAACTTGTTACTCTCAGCATAGTCTACCGATTTTTGGGTAGGTTCAGATTTAACCGATCTGGGTGGATTCTACCCAAATTTGGGTAGTTTTGAAATAGCGTGTATACGTAACATATGTACACTCAAAAAATAAATACAAATAATAAAAAAATAAATACAGATTTTTCAAATAAAGGGAATGTATTTTACATAATTTTTTATTTATCTTAATTATGATAAATAATAATTGTTTTCCTTCTAAGCTTCGAATAGACTTGGAATCTTTCGAATGGAGTTCTGATGTTCTTATTTCTCGTTGTGAGGAATATTAGTTCCCCTTTCTATTTGTTTAATTAACCTTGTCACATGGTTACATATACAAAGGTTAATTAAATATATTTTTTTTGTCAAATCGGTAAACAAGCAGTTTTAGAAAACCCACAAAGCGGATGATTACAGTTTGTGAGTCCAAGAGTCAACTGATTATTTTTATATTTGAAAAGCGTAATTACAGAAATAAAGATTATTGCATGCAATTCGACTAAACCTCCAGTTAAAAGTTCTGTGTTATGTCCAATGTAAAGATAAAGATTTTCGTAATCAATTAAATTCTAGGAAATTACGACAGTTACTTCATTACGGAAATTTTCAGCCGGTAACAGATTTGTCTCTTATAACTGGTACTTAATGTTTTGTATTTTCAGACTGTAGAAGATATACAAAACACATCAAGATTGTAGGATATCAAGATTTTTAAAATAGACAAATTCTTTGGAAAGCAAACTTTAGTAACTTTTTTCATTAATCTCAACTTAGAACAAACTCCTTCTGAACTTGGAATTTGCTAAATGGAGATTTACGTAAATCCGCACTGAGACCATAATACGGAAATTATACAGATTTTTGTCAGCCAGATACAGATTAAAAAGATTTTTTTGCGATGAAAAAACATCTAAATTCGAAAAAATGTGGCATCACTGCGTGTCGATGTGATGAACAAAGAACCGTTTACCTAGACCCTCTCTTCTCTCTACCAACTACATACATGCGCATGAAGAGGAAATCAGGTAGCCGGCACCAGTTTGTTGTGTACATTTTCCATTCCAACGTCACTGACAGTACATGTTCTCGTGCATCGACTAGGCCACCGACAGCCTTTTGAAAGTTATCGCTTCTCGGCCTAAAGGCTAAGATCAAAGTGTAGTAGGGGAAATGACGGCTTCGGCATGACAGACTATTTTCGGCAACACAAATTGAAACACTATTTTCACTCGATTTTCTTACGAAAACACTTCGCTGAATGCATGCAAACAATTCTTTAGGCTTTCAGCTTCAATTTGACTGTATTTTTACCACTGAGAAAAAGCAATCTAGCAAGGTTTTCTTGAAATGCAACACACGCACTACAAATTGTAGCTGATTTCGAGTTGCCGATAATAGAACAGCAGATTTACATGCAGTTCAAATGGAACGGTTGCCGAAGAAAAACTGGTTGCCGACAATACTCGCTCTCACTAGAGAAGATTGGAGCTTTGTAAAAGCGTTTCAAAACAGTTTTTGACAATTCTTTCGACTGAAATTGTTAGAGCAGCTGGCAGCAAAAGATTGTAAACAAACCAATACTGCATATGTGTGCGTTCCTTAGAGAAAAAGGCTATAGACAGAAGGTCGCTGCTTACGTTGCCGAGAATACGTAAATTCCCCTATCTGTTCTTATCAGCTTAACATCTGATAGATCTCCCATAGGGAGACAACAAATGTTAAACTGATTTTTGGAAAAGGGCGGAACGGTTAGGGGCTTGCTCCACTTCCGCCACGGGTTGGCCCGGTATTGCAGTACCGCCGGGATCGGCCCACGTAATCTTCTCAAATAAAGCTTTCCTCTCCTTTGAGTGGAGATGGAGCCAAAAGAGTTTTCACATCTGAACGTTTCGTGTAGAAATCTGTATTCCAATGCAAAAGATCGTTTTTTAATGAACCAACTGATGTCCCTAAACGTCATAGAAAAAAGTGTTTGTAAAGGAAATCTTAATGTGCGTACATCTAACTGTTCCATATTTTTTTAAAAAGCACATTGCAAATTTATAGGAAAAATAATCATTGCAAATGGCATAATGCTATTTCATGCTGCTTTTGTTCAACTATTCGATGCAGGATGCTAATTTTTCTTTGAATGGACACACTGAAACGAGGACTAAAGAAGTTACGAGAAGGAAACACGTCAACTTTCCAACATCTCCAAACATTTCTTTCCGTAAACCGGTCGACGCCCAACCAAAGTGCACCTGATGGCAAATCACCTGCAGAGCTGTTCCTGGGTAGGCCTATCACTACAACCCTATAGATTTGCTCAAGTCTTGTTAATCAGTTGTAAATAGCAAGCAGAACAAGCAATTCAACCGACGCCATGGCACGGTCAAGAGAGAATTTTCCGCTGATGATTTGGTGTATGCAGGGACTCATCATCATAACGAAACATCCTGGCTGCCTGGAAAGGTGATAGAGAGGAAAGGTTCCGTTTCAATTACACTGTCCTTCAGGAGAACGGTTGTCTTATCCGCTCTCACACTAACCAACAAGGCAACGTTATCTGGAAGACGCTAACGAAGTTCTGGTTCGCAACGAACCGTTGACTGTAGAAGAGGTGGTCCCACCTAAAGACGATGTTCAAGATGAGATACCAGCACCTGAGGACGTTGTTGAAGACATAGTGCCAGTATCATCCCAAGGAACCGAAGGCTTTCATCATGGCTATCACCTTACGACCTTTTCTGAGGGGAAAATGTTCCATAGTATCCACATGAAACGAACATCTTACAAGCCTATGAATAATCAAGCTATTTGACACAACTTATTTCTACATTTATTAATGTTCTGACCTCTGAAGTACATAGACCTAGTTATCCAACAACTTGTCTGTTATTGGCGTTGACGGCGACTCTCTAGCTCTTTATAGAGTATACTCCTATGGTAAAATCCATAAGCAAACGTCAGACTGTGCGTGAAACATGGCGGACTTCGTACTATCAACAATCAATACGAAACTAATGATTTTAAATTGGCTCACTACTTGACTAGCCGATTGGTCCCAAGCAAATCGATTAACGTACTCCATTCTAGTCGAAATTCTAGTACTACACTATGTTTGTTTTGATTCGCTATGAAAGTTTGACAGATAAAATGAGGGGTTCATGGATTTTCCTATGTTTCGAGGGGTGCATCGATTAGCTTGGGACCGAAGAGAGTACCAGAGCTGAGCCAAAAAGTTGAGCACGTTTCTTAGGGACCTTCTGGTCTTAGAGTTACCTCTATGGTACTATCCTTTCACTCCACCGAAAAATCCCATTAGAAACTGTCAATCTTTTCTAGAAGAGACGATTTTTCGACGGTGCCGTCAACGCCAATAGGAGTCTGTAACATTCAGCTAAACATTTTCCGTGAACATGAAGGCAGATGCCAGTAGTGTGTTTTGAGCAGAAAATTCATGGTAACATCCATCCGTGCACTCGTCTATAGCCATTCATGTCGGTTTGTCAGTGGTATTAAGATACTGAATATCACGTAATATAGGCCTGCCATCTTGAAAAAAGTCTTGATGATGCAGATTTCAAAATATTGCATGGCAAGGTATGGGTATGGGAGAAGATATAAAATGCTTATAGTTTTCAAAAGAATTACTTTAAATTGATTTGAGTGATACTGTGGTTGAAGGATAGTCTAAATCTACGTATTTGAACCACTTTTATCAAATATTTGGAAAATCTTCGAATATTTAATATAATATATCTATTGAGTAGCCCTTGAGTTTGCTGTTTTATTGTGAAAGTAAATTTATAAATTTTTTATCTTTATTAAGGAGATTTCAGTCCTGGGCTGGTTCATCTCCGGCTCAAATTTATAACATTTTTCCTAAGAGGAAGAGGAGAAAACTGGCTTCTTACTCTTGTATTTCTATCTCTATCTATATCTATCTCTATCTCTATCTTATGCACTTCAAAGCGGCCAATCACGAGCTGGTTCGCGTTTGACAGAAAAGTGGTTCGTTTTCGCCCCCGTACACAGTGGCACGAATCTGAATAAAGATGGTCAAAAATATTTTCTACCCTTTTTCGACGTTTTAGACACTAGGTGTCTTGGAAGAAGTTGCTTAAAATCTCGCTTAAAATGATATCTCGCATCTTTTGAAATACACACCTGAATAATCTTTAAGCTAGTATTACACATCCAAATTCTAACTTTTTTCCAGTTACGAGATAATGGTTCCATGTCTTGAACAAAGTTGCAGAACAGTTAATTTAATGAACATTTTCTAAAGCCACCAAATTTCTACATCTTAACTCTGTAGAGCTACAATTGATTTTCTTTTAGGACTACCTTAATATTTGTTTTTTGAATTAATTAGTGCTTTACGTCAAATGAGAACGCTCAAATTTGTGACGTCATATTCAACGGCTCGAAAAGATGCTGGGCGGGCCCTGGTGGGGTCTAAAACTGGTTGTATTTTGAAGATTACCTTATAAAATAGTACTCCTGAAAAGTTCAGCGCTGGGTACTGAGGGGTACCTAGCCAAATCTCGATTCGAAAATGTCAATATTATATACATACAGCCCATCGGACGGTTTTGTGACGTCATATTGAACAGCCCGAAAAGATGGTAGGCGGCCCCTGGCCGAAGATTACATTATAAAATAGTACTCCTGAAAAGTTCAGCGCTGGGTTTCCAGGGGTATCCATTCAAATCTCGAGTCGAAATAGTCAATGTTATATATATAGCCCATCAAACGTTTTTGTGACGTCATATTCAATGGCCCGAAAATAGGGTAGGCAGTCCCTGATGGAGTCTAAAACCGATTGTATTTGGAAGATCACCTTATAAAATAGTACTCCTGAAAATTTGAGCGTTGGGTACCGAGGGGTACCTAGTCAAATCTCGTTTCGAAATATTTAGTACAAGTTATAAACCAATGTGTGCTACGAGTGTGCTACTTACTCATGATAAAATTTTCAACTTTGTAAAAAATGCTTTATCTCGAAATGTAATCAATGAGTTTATTCGTGAATTGTATATACTGAATATGTTTTGAGTATGCTGATAGGCCTTTTTAATAGAAACTAAACGATCGATTCAACCTCTGGTGGTGAATAGGAGAACGTCAAAAAGAGTGTTGTGAGCACAAACGAAGTGACAGACGGAGCGGCTCGAAAACTTTGGTGACTAAAACGCTGTCCAGACTGAGCAGTTATAACATGTTATAACGGTTGTCAAATAATTGCAACACAGAAACCACCATCAAGATAGCGCTATAACATGTTATAACTCTGTAGTCTGAACGTACTATAACCTGCTATTGCAATTTTTCAGTGTACCACATGGCAACACCACTACTACTGGATTGTACCACATGACAACACTACTACTAGATTGAACTAGCATTTTCACCAAATGTACTAGAATGTTATACCTCCTAAATAAAGCTAAATTAATTAATTAATTAGAATGTTTTGGTTCTATCTCTTTCACTCTACTCAAAACTGAAATGCATAAAAAAAAATGACAAAATGATACGCACTCTTTGCACACTGTCAAAGAATCATTGTACACAAAATCAACTTTGTTCAAATCAAAACAAAAAAACTAACCCATCTGGTGGATGATGGCACAAGCTTCCAAGAAAATTCTATTACAGTGAACCACATTATTTAAATGGATTTCTTCGCCAGTTAGTCGTCTGTCACTTCGTTTGTGGTTGTGAGCATACATTTTTGCCTTGAGACATAGGAAGCGGAACACTTTTTTACTTTTCTTGATAAATTGATTCATCTGAGATGCTGCAAAACTTAATCTACAGTTGAAAAATTTAATTCTGTAACGTTTTGGAAAAGATCCTGCTGGTGTTCATGAATATTTTTGTTGAGAAAAATGAAAAATTAGAAAAGTGCCTTAGTGGTTATGATCTTCCGGATTTCTTGTGTGTGAATAGTTAAGGTGCAAATCAGTTCAGATTTGTGGAAAATCGTACAATAAGACAATTGCCGATGGAAATTGGTAAGATTTTGAATGAAAAATGCTGTTATTTGCGTTGGGGAAAATACTTATTCTGATGTAAACAAACGGTTTGGTTGACGTTTCTTCTCGAACTCGCGTGGCACACTCTACGTTGGTGGTGCATTAAAAAGGCGTATATTGAAAAAAAAAATGGTTTATTTACTTCTTATCTGCCTGTATTCGATAATATTTGACATGAAGATTTTTGTGAATCTTCTCCGCCCACGCTTTGAACAATTCCATCCGACAAGGATTGAATTAAATCATTTTCAAAAAAAAATCCCACTTAGATAATTAAATAAAGCCTATCGCTCTTTGCTATCGCCAAAACGTTAAGCGCAATATACTTTGTAAGGTCATCTGCAGCAGCGCTCAGCGAAGTGCACGCGGCAATTTCAAACATCTGTTGTGAAGTCACGTTCCATGTTCTGAAAAAAGGGTGGGTTCCAAAACCGTAGTCAGAATTTTATCATATAGGGGAAATGTTGGCTTCGGCAATACCTTAACCTATTATCGTCAGGGGGTAAACAACGTCCTTGAGAGCTCAATTTTCGCATGTGGATACATTGTGTTTCAGAGCGTCTATTGGCCAAATTTGAGTGCTCTAGGACTTTGTTTACCCCCTGACGATAATAGGTTAAGGTATTGCCGAAGTCAACATTTCCCCTATTCTGGTTTTCTTAAAAGTTACACGGATAGGTATAGCGAATATTTTAGTCCATTTACGCTATATAATAAAGTGCAAGGAATATACCTATATTTTTAGCTTGCATTATAATGTTTACAATTATCAACATATGAGTATCAATATTGAA